CATAATACAATACAAAATACAAAATACTGTAAGCAAGCCCCATATTGCATCTCCACAACTGGTAGAAAGACTGCCGTCCCTGCAGCAAGTGGTTGTTAGTGGCTAAACTGCTAGGCAAAGATTACATACAGATTACAGTCCATACATGGAGATCGCTTAGAGTTCCAGCTCTACGTTGGAAGTCGAGGACGTGGTTTATGGCGGGCTAACGCAGATTTGCACTGGACTGAAACTCAGTGGGCGCGTGTGCTTTTTTCTTACGAGGCTTGGTTCGGGTTTCATCCAGATTTAAAAAGAGTGCGAGTTTTGCGAGACGCTGGTAGCAATTTGGAGGTCGGGTCTGAACAGTTGCATTGCGTCTGACGGCGAGTTGTAGCTGCTTGTACTGCCACACTGAGCACTCGGTTCTGGAGGCTAGCGGGATCCGAAGCACGGTGCACCGCTGGCCGACCGTGGGAAGTTGGGGGCCCAAGTAGCGGGAAAGCCACCCGTGAAAGGCTGCCCCGCCACCCAACGAAAAATCCCGGAATGCTCCACCTTGCCGGTTGGCGACCGGAAGGGAGGACTAGGTGGCCATCTCCGGGGGGGTTCGGGCGTCCCCGCGGTCTCCAAGCCGATTGTAACCTCGTGTGGCAGTATGAGTCTGCTGCTTGGTTGAACACGACGCAGTGCCTCGTTCAACTGCCTTCCTCCTGCCTATTCACTTCTCCAAAACAGAATGAAAAACTTTAAAAATGGAAAAAAGTATACACAGCGGTTGCACGTCCTCCCACTAAAAGTGCACCTCACTAACATCCGAGGTCTGCACTCAAATCTCGATTCGGTCCACTACCACCTTGAAACCGACAAACCGCAGCTGCTGTTCCTCACAGAGACGCAGATCAGATGTCCGACTGACGCAGCGTACCTCAGCTACCCCGGGTATACTCTGGAGCACAGGTTCGTACCTCGTGCCGGAGTCTGTGTGTACGTTCGCGATGACATCTGTGTCAAGCGTCTCAAGAACCTTGAGGCACCGAGTTTTTCAATTTTATGGCTTCTGGTTGACACAGGAGTTACACAAATAGTGTACTGCTGTGTTTACCGATCGCACAGTGGAGATCAGGAGACGACCAAGCTGTTCCAATATCTAAGTGAGACGTCTGATGAGATTCAGCATAGGTACCCAGCGGCGCAACTAGTCATTCTGGGGGACTTTAATGCACACCATCAAGAATGGTTGTTCCCATACCAGAAGACCGATCACGCTGGGAGAGAGACGCGTAAACTTGCGTTAACGCTAAGCTTATCCCAGCTTGTCAGTGGCGCCACTAGGATACCAGATGTTGAATCCCATACGGCTAATTGCTTGGACCTTCTGCTGACAACTGATCCGGACCGATACTCTGTGGTTGTGGAGGCCCCACTGGGTACTTCCGACCATTGTCTGGTGAAAACTGTATCCGTATACTCCCCACCCGATCAGGGCCCTAGTGGTATGAGACGGGTGTGGCGATACAAGTTAGCAGATTGGGACGAAATGCGCCATTTCTTTGCGTCATATCCCTGGCAGGCGTGCTTTACTTCAGGAGACTCGTCGAGCTGTGCTGATGCTGTAGTCGAGGTCTTGCGTTTGGGTATGGAGTATTACATTCCATACTCTGATGTACCCAATGGACCCCAAGCTCGTCCATGGTTTAACGCTAATTGTAGTTGTGCTGAAGCACGTAAACAGTCCGCGTACCAAGCTTGGGCAGATGCTCGACTACGCAAAACTCCGAGTACTCAGAACATGAAGAAAGCTTTTAATAAGGCCGCCAAGAAGTGCAAAAGCATGTTACGTAGGGCCAAGTTCGACCATGTGCGCCGCATAGGAGCCAAGCTTGCCTCTTATCCAGCAGGCAGCAAATCCTTTTGGTCCCTGGCCAAAGCGGTCGAATCGAACTTTTGTCGCCCATCTTTGCCACCTCTGCTGAGGCCGGATGGTTCGCTGGCTCATACTGCGGAAGAGAAGGCGAATCTCTTTGCCTCACTCTTTGCAGAAAATTCGCGTCTAGATGCCGCAGGGACCCTACCACCTACTTTACCTCAGGCTGGCTGCACTATGGCGCCAGTTCGCATACGCCAAAAAGAGGTACTTAGAACTCTGCGAAATCTAGACGTGAATAAAGCTAGCGGGCCAGATGGAATTCCAGCAATAGTCCTGCGTAACTGTGCACCTGAGTTGTCTCCTGTTCTCACACGCCTGTACCGCCTCTCACTTGAGACTGGTGTAGTTCCCAGGTCGTGGAAGCTTGCAAACGTGCAACCTGTACCAAAAAAGGGAAGCAGAGCTGACCCTGTCAACTATAGACCTATCTCAGTCACTTCCATACTCTGCAAGACTATGGAACGTGTACTCAACAACCGTCTCCTATCGTACCTTGAAGACAACGATCTCCTCAGTGATCGCCAGTACGGATTCCGACGAGGGCGATCTACTGGGGATCTTCTTGTGTATGCCTGTCACATATGGAGCGAGGCTATAGAAAAGCAAGGCGAAGCACTTGCAGTGTCTTTGGACATTTCTAAAGCCTTTGACAGGGTCTGGCACGCAAGCCTTTTAAGCAAGCTTCCCTCTTATGGGCTTCCCACTGACCTTTGCAATTGGATCTCGGATTTCTTGAGCGAACGTTCGATTCGAGTGGTCTTAGAAGGCTACTCTTCCGAACATATGGCGATAGATGCCGGAGTTCCTCAGGGTTCCGTACTGTCTGCAACTCTCTTTCTGCTGCATATCAATGATATGTTAATTCCAGGTACCTTTGCGTATGCTGATGACAGCACAGTTGTAGATAGGTACTTGACCAATGCAAGGGTCAGTGGAGAGGAAATCCAGTCTTGTCGAGAGTCCATGGTTAGCCGTTTAGATTTGACACTCCAGGCAGTCTCCGATTGGGGCAATGCCAATCTTGTCAAATTTAACGCTACCAAAACGCAGGCGTGTCTATTCTCCACAAAACGGAGTCCCTTTGAGCTGACTCCGACTTTTCGTGATATATCCATACCGATAGCCGATTGTCTCCAGCTACTTGGAATGGACCTGTCGTCCAATTTGAACTTCGGCAGATACATTGAATCCACGGCCAAAAATGCAGCAAGGAAGCTTGGGATCCTTTCCAGGGTGAGGCGGTACTTTACACCGGGACAGTTGCTCCAGCTGTACCAAGCACAAGTCCGATCGTGCATGGAGTACTGCTGCCACCTTTGGGATGGCTCTGCGACATATCAACTGGCCACTTTGGATTCAATTGACAACCGTGCCAAGAGGCTTATAGGTGACTCGGAATTAGTGGAGGCGAAGCTGCAGAGCCTTGAACACCGCCGTAAAGTTGCCTGCTTATCGGTATTTTACAGGATATATCACGGAGAGTGTGCGATGGAATTACATGATTTAATTCCGCCTTCCCCTTTCCATCACCGGGGGACTAGGCGTAGGCTTGGGTTCCACCCCTATGTTGTGGATATTCCAAAGATTCGCACGAAGCGTTACGCTTCCACATTTATATGGCGAACGGCTATGGAGTGGAATTCCCTGCCTGCAGACTTGTTCCCTGAACGTTATAACTTGGACCTTTTCAAGGCGAGAGTGAATAGGCATTATTTAGGTGTGCATGCTCCATCGTCGACCTCATCGTCACTTTCCATCAGGTGAGATGGAGGTCAAATGCGCACCTATATTTTATAAAAAAAAAAAAAAAAAAAAAAAAAACAGTTGACTCCAGAATCCTCAGGAAGTTCATCTATACCAAGGTGGAACGATAATGGTGCGAGCTGGAATTCGTCTAGTTGGAAGAGCTGATCTCGTTTAGATACAAGGCAATTTGAATGCGGAACAATACTGCGACGATGTTATGCGACTCCTGGTAATCCCTCACCGACAGCAGCTCGGCCAAGATATCATGTTTATGCACGATAATGCACATACACGCGTTGCAGGGCTATTGATGATTATGTTCCACGAGTACGATAAGTATAACGTTGTTAGAGTGGCTTGCTCAGCAGCCGATCTCGGTTCCTTTGAGCATGTATGGGATTTAAGCTGGAGAAAAGGATTTAAGAATCTTCCTCAAAATTTACACACAGAAGAAGAGCTTCTTTCACGTTCCAGAATATGGTGTCTTATTCCACAGGCGACAATTGACAACCTTATACTACCACGCTATTATAGAATAGTCGCTAATGCCTTAGGAGGTCCGACTGACTATTAAAAAACTTATTTAATAGCTTTTTTATAATTTTCACTACTACAATATTTTTTAGTTAAAACTATAAAAAATCTTGTATTTTTGTATTGCATTTTTTATAAATTAAAAAATTTTGTTTTTATTTTGTCACTTTTTTATTTTATGATAAATTTTGATTTTTCTCCTTGACAATCATTTTATTATTTTATCATTAAAATGAATATTAAATAACGCTTCTTTTGATGTACCTACAACTTATAAGGAAATAGTTGATGGTTAAATTGAAAAAATATAATAACCAACCACTTGGTTCTTAATCTGCATTAAGTGTGAAATTAGTGTTAGACAAACTTAACCTTTAACTGTGAGCCGTAAAATTAACTTTGGTGTGACTTCTAGATTGCATAATTAGTTAAAGACGCTTTAAGAAACTGACCTTTACTGTCGTAGTTTTCAACCACAAAGTTGGAATTCCTTAACACTTTTCTGTAGTAAGAAGGCTCTCGGGACCAAAAGGTCGGCTAATGGGTCAGGCATCTTAGAGCATCGACTGTACGTAGTTAACATAGTTACTTGCTAGTAGCACATGTGAGATAACCAGCATGTGTACACGCGTAAAGTGCATGCCGATTGCAGGCATAAGGTATTTGCTTTTGTAAAGGCTTAATAGGTTAGCCAGCTGCCAGGGTTGTCTATTTCGGCTTTTGTGAGTAACAAAATCTTCAAATAATTACTTTTTTATGTAGGTACCTACTTGCAATATCCGTAGAGTATATGAACACAATGGTCATCTAGGTGACTTCAGACGGCATTAACATGGTGACCAACGTGGTATGGGAAGCGGATATAAAAGGTGAAAACACACCGCACATCTGTGCCTTCGGCAACGGCATTCTGTTATACGGACCAGACCGCAATATCAGAGTAAGGAAGTTTCAATATCTAAGTCAGGCTTGATATTTAACATTAGAAGATACATTTTATTGTACTTAGCTAGGTAAAGCATCGAGGTGACGAATTTGTCTCGTACACGTAATAAAAACACTCTTATGAAAATCTTGCCATAATCTCCGTCGATACCTAGGTCGTTATTTTCGTTTTACGAACCACATACTTACAACTTTACTTATAGGACTTACCTTGATTTTTTTTGCAAAATTGTTAGTGTAAATTCTTGGAATGAAAGAAGTGTTTCGGGATCGCCTTCTTAACACATTAAATCCATCTTTGTAAGGTTCGTAAAACAGTAGAGTATATAGTATATTTTAATTTAATTTTAACACTTATAAACCCTTGTTCCATCTCGATGATTTTGAGCTTAGTACACTTTGTTATGTTCAGTGGCTCAAAAAAGTAGAAAATGATTGGAGCATAGTATGGATACGATCACTGGAGGGCGATAAGGAAGTCGTAAAAGACGAGGTAGCAAAGAAGGCTGACGGATCTAAATCTAAACAAAGTGTCAAAGGTGGAATTAAGAGTACTACGATTGTGGAAAAAGCGACTAGGGAGAGTGAGACTTTTCATCGTCGACGTGCATCGGAGGTGGCTTTGGATGTGGCCGAGAGGCTCTTGAGCAGCGCAAGCGCAGAGTGTGCTGCTATGTGGACGCGTGCAGGTCGGGTCTTGCGGCTCCTTGCGCCTGCTTCGCCCGATGACAACTGTCCCGAGGTGCGGCTGCAAGCGTACAAACAGCGGTAACAGCCTTACAGCCTTCATAATTATGACTTTATTATTTATTTATTTATTCATGGAAAACTAACAACTTCAATCATTTAATAAAAACAGAGAAAGAAACATAAAGCCAATTACAGGTTTCCACCAAACAAACAAACGAACAATAAACAGTATTTGTTAACAACATGCACTTACAAATATAACAACCCAATACCAGCGTCAACAGTCACGAATTATTCAATAAAATTAAATAAAATGTCCATCAGTTTACGCTTTAGCGCGTCAACATTACAATTAAATATATGAATCAACATCCAGGTCATGATTGTTCAGCGCACTATCCAAGCTCTTGCTAGCTCTACATCGAAAACTGTTTTGTCTATAATTAGTAGCTAAAGATGACAGTGTCTCCTAGAACACGTAAGTACATTAAACGAAATATCACTCAATAGGTCGAGACAGTCAACATTACTGTTTATGATGTTAATAATATACGCGATATCAAAGATTTTTCAGCGAATATTTAGAGGTAATAGGTTTAGATCCTTACAGAGACGTAGGTAGTCGAATGAATTATAAGACTTACTCATTTCATTGCATAACAATTTAATAAATTTATTTTGGACTCGTTCAATTCTGTCGATATAGACTTGCTATCTCGGATTCCAGATTTGGGAAGCATATTCTAACATACTACGAACATATGCACAATATAATATTCGTAAAGTACTTGGCTTGGAGAAACAGACTGAGTTAAGCATTATGAATCCAAGAGACTAGTAGCCTTGGAGACAACATCATCTATAAGAGCATCAAAGATCAGCTTTGAATCATGGATGACACCCAGTTCCTTAATGACTGTCTTTCGTTCGAAAGTGCGATTTTTCAGACTACAAGACTTAAGAATAGTTTTAACCTTGCGTGAAAAAGTCATTAAAAAGCCTGGTGATAACCGACACGCCTGTCTATAACAATTGCAGTGCCACTCAGAGCTTTAAATCGCAAAGTCTGAGGTACACTGCCACTGCGCCCGTCACCTTGAGACATAAGTTGAAAAGCCCCATATAATATGCCTGTAATTTGACCAGAATCCTTAGGTACCCTTCAAAGCGAAACACTGTAATGCTAATAGAAAAGTTAATCTTTTCTATTAACGGTTAAATGCAATTTCAGGAGCATAGAGAAGATTCAAATGATCGCCCCAAATTTCAAACACGTTGTCACTATGAACGATCATGGAACGTTAAGCGTTTACGAGATAATGTCCGCAAAGCTGGTCAGTGCACTTCGTATCGTACGTACTTTACTAGCCTTTGTTAGGGGTAGTTGTTGACAAATTTTTTTGGGATGTGTTGGCAGGTGCTGGTGAAATACGTCGACGGAAGCGAGATATCATTCACAGCGAGTCTAGTGGACCCGTTACTGGCTGTGTATGGCGAGGCTTTATGCGGTTTCAACTATGGACTAACTCTGCTAGAGTGGCAGGAGCGCGAGGAGGGCCGCGGTGATCTGGTAAAGGTTGCGTCTGTCTGCCTCACACACCAGTCGGTGTCGCGGGTAGTCTTTTCACCCTCTGGTCGTGAGCTCATCGCTGCGGCCATGTCAGCTGGACATATTTTTTTGTACAAGGTTAGTATCGCCGCTTATCTCGGGACTACTTACTTAACCCACCTAATGGCATTAGTTTTTTCAATTTATTATTAAGGAATAACTTAGGCCAAAATAGTTAACCACAATGACATAAATTATTGAAGTCTACATTACAGGATAATGTTCTCGGTGAGGGAGCACCCTTATAAATAAACAGAACAAAACAAAAGTAGTAGTAGTGGGCTTAGAGAATTTTAAATTTTAATTAAAGTCGACCATAACTTATTTGTCGTGATGTTACGTAATATTAATAATATTTAATATATATTTAATATATAACTAATAATTTATTATATACTTGGTACTTGGTGCAACGCGCTGGTATCCGCAACTCGACCACAAAGCGCCTATTTCGTGTGTGGAATTTATTATATAATATATATTTTATAACATAATTATTGACTTTAGTTGAGCGGACAAGTTTTCGGCAAATCGTTCTCGTAGCGCCTATTTTGTTTACGCGTGGGTTGCACGTTACAAAAGTCTACTCTCTAGCTGCATCAGAAATCTTGGTTGTTGATTATTGAAATATTATTATATTAAGTAACTAGATTGTAACTATTCTCAAATTCATTTATTCCAAAATTTACAAAATGCATTTATGAACAATAATAAAATGTATAACCTAAAGATCAGCACAAGGCTTCGTCAATAGGTAATCTAATACAAAAAAAGTGAGATTCACGAGAAATATACTTAATTTAAAAAGAAATCCCGCCCTGTATCGTGCCCGGGGCAAAAGTTCCCATTATACTGGCAGCATTGCCTCGCTGGACAGCAATGGACACCTGCTGAACCAACCATGACCCAGAGCGGTGATCGCAGCCCCTGTCTCTGAGTCGGCGACCCAACTCTTTAAATAGGTCCCGAGCTTCCGAACCCCAAGGCCCCGCCGTCTCGACCGCGACCGGTACAAAGTCGTGCACAGGCTCCAAGGCAGAATATTTCGCGTGTTTTAGTTTCGCGGCACTTTCCGCCGCGGAACCCGCCATCTGCGAAGTTTGTCTTATGTGGGACGCAGCAAAAGTACTTACGCATGTTGCGTCCCACAGAAGACAACGACCTTTCCGCCAAGGAACCAATGTCAAACCGTCCGGCCTTTTACCGTCTATTCGACTCAGGCCCGGGGGCTCGAGCACGCAAGGGACATTAGCCGACACCATCGCCCGTCGCACAACGTCATTAATGGCATGGTGTCTGGGAAAACGACCCGCACACCTTCGGCAGCTCAAACCGTGGTGTCCGTCCTCCCTCACCATAGCCCCACACACACAGCGGTGTGGTTCACAAACCTTGCTTCCCAATCTCAGTGCTACTGCTATCCTTAAAGATGTGTTGTCGAGCAGAGTACCCAACTGGGGAGATGGCAAAGCATGTAACCACGCTCCCGATTCTGATTTAGCGACCGCTCTCAGACGGGCCACATCGGCACCCGAAGCACCCTCCAACAAGGAACTATACCTTCGTTTGCATAGAACGTCGTCCCAATTTCTCTGCAAACTAGGATTATCCGGGTGCTCGTCGCTTGGGCAAAGACTTGACCACCAGGTAAGAGCTTCTGCTTGGAATGGTATGCGAATATCGCTGCCATTTTGAGCTAAAATGCGAGCAACGAGATCCGCAGAGCCATAAGACGAAGCCAGAAACCCCACAAAGCCCACATCTTGCACTCGACGCACTCCAAGTCCACCATGCCTAATGGGAAGTGCAGCTTGACACCACTGTGGTAGAGTAATACTTATGTTTAGCACTATCTCCAGCGTAACTCTGAGTACATCATCTACAAGGGCCACGTCTCGCTCAAAAAGCCACGTGGGAGATGTCCTCAATATATAAGTCATTCGGGGCATCCCTAAACAATTCCGCAACAAGACGAGCGCCACATGAGCCGATAGATGCGACAAATGTTCCCGTGCAGCTAAAAGTGCCAGTCTTTTTGTTTGAAGAGCAGAACTGACACCCTCAGGAAATATTGGCGCACCCAATAGGCTGACAGACGACCTATCCAGCTGCTTGATGCCCGGCAAAAGAACCATCAAATTTTCTAGTACGTCCGCGTTCATAAATCCACAATTAAATAACTCGCACTTATTTGGATTTATTTCTAGACCAACAGCTTTCAAAGCTACTCCGAGACTCTTTAAATCTTGCAAAACCACTTCTGGACTTCCGCCAATAGTGCCATCATCTAGGTACCAGACATTCAATGGTGAGTCCAATGATGATATGATTTTCTGGATAGCCAAACAGAACAATAAAGGCCCCAGAGGATCGCCCTGTTGAGCACCCACCTACGATAAGATGGAATTTTCACCGTAGAAAAGATTACTGGGGACCGAGTAACACCGGTAGACAAAGGGGTACAGGGATGGCACATTTTCCAAAATTTCCGACAAAATAATATCTCTCTCCACACTGTTAAAAGCGTTCCTAATATCTATTTTGACGACCACTGTATCTGTACCCTCATGGCCCATCGCAAAAGAGCGGGTGGCGTGTATCGCCGCCTCGCAGCCCAGTGGCGTCCCGAATCCCACCTGCCTCGGCTGAAGGTGGGTCGACATTATGTCTCTAACTGACCTACAGCAAAGCTTTGCCACTAGGCGGCGATACATACCACCCACGGCAATTGG